TCGAACCCTCGCGGGCAGAGCCCAACGGCTTAGCAGTCCGCCGCCTTAACCACTCGGCCAAAGTGTCAATAGAAACATCCTCATAACTTCTAAGGTCATTTCGTAGGACAACAATCAGGGGTTCCATAACCGACAAGTAGAATGAACCGGAAGCATTGAGGTAAATCATGATGATTGCAGCCAGCGAGTTCACACCGACCACATGATTCCTTGCTCCGCCCCTGTATTCATCACTCCTGGCGCAGTCCGTGAGCCTTCATGGAAGAGGTATTCCCTCAAGGCTGATGTGGCATCAGTGATGTGTGACAGCCTGCTTTGGCGCCGCCAAATTGGCGGTGGCCAAACCTCCGTCCAAAAGGGCCCGACATCTGCTTGTTTTTAGTTGCGAGCAAGGATAGATCGGCCCGTAGTGAACAAGGATATCTCAGATATCATATCTCATCGGCATCGTTGCTGTTGAGCTCATGCAGTGGACGGGCAGAATATCATGCTTGACCCATCAGGTTATCTGGGCAGACATCACAACTCTCCCTTGAGGACATTGGCATCATTGGCAAAGTGATCTAAATCATCTGTTGGAATGAACCCACTGGGAGACTCTCAAGCGGAATCGAACTCGCGAGCTCGTACCAGCCTACCGGTATCAAAAACCAATTCCAACCAGCGGAGTTAATCTTGACTCCCCCCAACTAGCATCCCACCATAATGTCGATCATACATCTGTGCCGGCCTCTACTGTGCTTCCTTCGCCACGATTTCCTCAGCGATGTCTTCCCATAGCCGCTCCACTCTGAACGACTTTGACCAAGCCGCAATTGGAATGATACTTTACGGCGGTATACCCGATAAAGTGGACCACCTGCACACCCTCGGGTCCGACTCATACTCAGTTCACCATCAGGGAAGTATCATCTGTAACTGCTGCCCTAAGAAAGGAAAGCGATCAACATCTATACCTCCTGAGGGTGTCTGGAGCACACGGGCGGACTGCGACAAAAGAGGCTGATGACAGGGGAGGAACGCAGTCTCGACAAGACCGACGAATACTAACTGAGTTGAGAGAACGGACTCTATGTTAGGGAGTGTCAGTTGCGTTCTACAAATGCGTATTCCACTCGTACTAAAAATGGTACTCTCTTGCGAATCATCGTATACCACTGACATCAACACCCTCCACCAACAGTTTCCCATGTGAATGCCATCCCATTGAGCGCATTTTCCCCATTGGGAACGTTATTTCTTAAAGCTAGATGGATCCCTGATCCCATTGGTACAAGTCTTCCTCTGTTTTCGCAAACTGAGTGTATTGCCCCACTAACTGTGAACTCAAGCCCAATAGGAAGGATGCTCGTCGCAAGTCCTGCCGACCTCAGAAGTATCTCTCCATCGCTGCAACTGTTACTACGAGCACCATATTAGGGAGGAATTATACTGTTTTCAACGATCATCAAATGCATTTACTAGAGAGGCTAGAGTAGTCATAATATCCTTCAATGCCGATAATTATCCTTCAATAGACTGCCGTACCTAAATTGAATCTTACACGCTCGACCTCAAGATTCTCCCTAGAATAATACCAGTCTGCGAACTTTCTTCTTGTAAGCCGGGTAGTCTTTCTTGAACTCAACCTGCCACATAGCGAATCCAACGCCTCCTCTTTGCAAGGATTCAACACGACTTACTGCAGCATCAACGTTGGCAGGGGAGTCCAAATTGGGGGAGGCCAGCATAGATATAACAGAAACCAGAATGGACTCTACGCTCAAACTAACAAATACACCCCCATGGAATTGAACCAGCGACCTTTCGGTTAGAACTACATCGGCCTCCATCGTTCATCTGCGGACTCTAGTTCATTAAACTGATCAGTTCCTGGAGGGTGCAGAATCGATATGCAAACTCGGCCATCTGGGAGGATAAATCGCATGGCCACATTCGGACCTATTCTGAATCTTACCTGGGTAAACATTAGGATGCCACATAGGCGTCTCGAAACGCATATCGGGAGGGTTGTTGGGGAAGTCCTCAGGGAACTGCAGTATTGCCGAAAAGAGACCGCCCTCATAGAGCGAGTCCGGTGGGCCTGACCACGGCTGACGATCCCTGGCCTCAAAAACAGCCGCTATTACCCTCGAAACAAACACGCCATTTGAAGAAATCCGAATCGTCTTCAAGACCAACCGAGAACCCACAAGAGTCGTCCCTCGTCAACTCTGAAGTAAATAAAATAGCTCCGTGAAGTTGGCCTCAAAATGCGCCATACCAATGAGCTGCTTCTTGAGTAGTTCGCGGGCAACAGACATCAAACTAGATTTAAACAACTGAGATCGATAGGGC